GCTTGGGAGGGTGGAGGGACAGCGCAGGAGGGGAAGGCCCTCTATGAGATGGATTGATTCAGTGACTGGGGTAATTGGGATGGGTATATCAGAGGCAGTGCGATTGGCACAGGACAGAGCAGGGTTTAGGGCTGTTGTACATAGGGTTGCTATGAGTCGCAAACGACTCGATGGCACATAACAACTTGCTTAAGTATCCATTGAGCCTTTGAATTGGCTGTAAAATTTTAGGTCGAAGAAAGTACTACTCCAGCATTTTGTTTCTAAAACTAGCTTTTGCATTTAGGGAGTTCTATACCAACTCCTTCATAGTTATTACCCTTGAGTTATACTATTCCATTTATTCCTTACTTTATTTGAGTTAGGGATAGGATAAAACTGTGATGCCACCAGTTTAAACAAATAATCTCACACTTTAATTTTTTAAAGTATGGCTGTATCAATGCAAAAAACTACTCCCATTCTTTCAGCAAAGATTACTATAAGTGGAATTAACACTTGACAACATTAGAAATGATTAAGTCTAATATTGTAATGAGTGGTTTGTTTAAACTGGTTTGTTTAGACCTTCCGTGAGGTGCACTGACATAGTGACTGTACTAATGGATTTGAACATGCCAGAGATTGTGAGGGTGGCACAAGATAGGGCAAAGTTTAAATCTGTTCATAAAATTGTTAAGATTTGCAGTTAGCTGAACAGCACCTAACATCATCAGTGAATTGACTTAAGCTCTATGACTTAATGAGAAACCCTCTGTCTCAGTACTTAGCTTTATTCTGTCCTTCCCACTGTATGCATTAAAGTTGTAGGTAATAGCACATCTTGCTGGATTTGCTTTGCAGGGCGCCCCCCCCCCCCCCCCGCCCCAGAATAGAAGCATAATTCTAGGAGAATACATACTGAAACAAATCTGGCTTAGTTAGAAGAATGGTTGTGGAAGGAAGGAGACTTAAAGTTTTTATATTTAATAGAATTGTTAGGCTCAAATCAGCAGGGTATGTTTTTATGGGCCATCTGCCAAGACTAGATGTAACTGGTATCTGTTACTTTCTTAAACTTGTATTTGCATTCCATCCTGTGTCATATGA